GGGGGGGGGGGGGGGGGGGGGAAGAGAGAGAGAGAGATAGTTGCTTCATCTTTGAATCCGGTGCAGTAAAAATAAGTTTAGATTCAGAAGAAACCTCCAATGGATGGGGGCGGCCGCTACACGGTGTCGAGCGCATGGGTCCCGCGGGGGGGACACTCCCGGCCTCGTCACGCAGCATTTCACATGACTTTTTCGCAAGGGAGCTTTCACCGCTCTGGCCGAGTGTGCCACGCGTACCTCTCGCGAACCCCAGGGCAGAGGTCGCGCGAGGAGCAACTTGCCTCTGCCCAAGGGGTTGTCACCACCCTTGGACAGGCATATCCCCGCCGAGTTGGACGCGCGAGGAGCAATTTGCCTCTGCCCAAGGGGTTGGCACCACCCTTGGACAGGCATATCCCCGCCAAGCTACCGAACCACGTGCGAAAGCTACTCGAGTGCAATCGCGGAGGTGGCACGGCCGAAGGCGTTTCTCGTTCGCTGTAGCATAGGGGGTACTCGAGGTCAAACGTCTTAATCGAACCCGTATGCGAACCGATACTCTAGGGGCTGATTTCCCAAGCAGGACTTTGCGCCGATCGACTAGGACGGTCCACCTAACCACGCCATACACTTCACAAAATAAAATAAAACTACAAAGCACGCCTAGTACCTTTTGCACATCTGACCCATAACCTTTTCACCACAGAAATAAACGACATCGTGTGCGAGACTCTAAATAAATATCGCGGCGACGTAGGCGTTGTCATCTTGACTAGTCATGCATGAATACGCAAGTAGTAGCAAGGATGACGTACTATGTGTTACCCATGACCACGCGAACCTCAATGATTTTGAGGATTACTTTTGACACTCAAATGTCGGTTGACACACGTCTTGAGAGGTTAATCTCTTAACACTAGACAATCGCGTGTGCGATTGCAAGACTTACCCTCTTTTGCACCCTGCATGAATGAGCGGTAGGTGGGCTTCAGCCCCTTCGTGGCGGTAGGATGCCCCTGACTTATAGAACGAGGCTCCATCTTCGGAGGCCTTCGGACATGTCAAGGGGTTTGACTTTGACAGTCGCCACAGACTTCCACATCTAGCTATAAACATCTAAAAAACATCAATAACATGATTTTTTTTTTCCCTCTATAAGAACTTGCCCAATCTTTACGCATGGTCAAAATAGACCGCTTGAATATACAAAGTATAATTATAATGGGGTTATAGGATACGACGCGATTACTCTCACAATCACAGTGTGACTCCCTTCAAAATATATACATGATCACAAACAGCGTCAAAATTTAACTTCAACTCACAAAACATACTTGCAATCAAACCACAGATTTAAAATCGTCAGACCACACACTACACGGGGGCAACTTCAATCACTCTATGCACTCACACCTCTTGCTTTATTCACACAAGCCTCAGGGGCTAGTTCGACACTCCTCGGGCCGTCCTCGGGGCCCTAGGAAATTCTCCGTAGTCGCCCGAGGAAATTCGCGCCGTCGTTCCACTCATCGTCGGAATTGTTCCCCGAGGACGATTCCTCAGGGTCTTCCATGACCAGCTTCATATATCGACAAGCGGACGTCGTTGATCCAGCAAGGTGTGTCTGTGCCAACGTCGTTGATCCAGCTCGGGCAGTCGTCACGACGTCGTTGATCCAGCTCGGGCAGTCGTCACGACGTCGTTGATCCAGCTCGGGCAGTCGTCACGACGTCGTTGATCCAGCTCGGGCAGTCGTCGCGAATTCGAAAGTTGGCGGCGGAAAAAAAAAATGGCATGAAAAAGGTGCGTAGTCCCGGCTTCAAAATTCGAAATTCGAATTTCCGCAAGCGACTGACGGCGGCGTGGGCGTCCCTTGCGGCTGACGGCAGCAACGTTTCTCAGCGGAAGCGTTTCGGTACGGGGTGGCGGCTGCGTGTCGGCGGGCACGGCGAACGTACATGTACGCGTCCGAAGCAGCAGACACGCCGTCACACGATTGTCGCCGTTGTCATCTTTGCAAGTGAGCTTGATTGTCGATGTGTACATTGTGCACTCAGGTCGTCACTCGCAGCAACGCTGTTGTGCAGCCCGCCACACGCGGAGTCTTCTGCACTCGGCGATGCCCACGTCGACAGTACGACTTTCGGCGATGGCCATGAATGGGGGGCCGGGACGTGACACACTGAGCAAGGCGGAGAGGACGGCGGTGGCAGCGGTCGTGAACGCCATCCTCTTTCAGTGTCAATTGCAAAGGGGCGAGAGAAGGATGAGAGCGGCCATTCGCGCACGGCGGAAGAGGACGCTGCAGTCCACGAATTTGGAAGGGGAGGACAGTGGTGCCATTTGCGACGCCGTGCTGCAAGTGTGCTACCCCATGGGGTGTGGAGCATTCCCCAGAGCGACCCCCAAGTGGTGGATGAAGCGACGGACAGGCGGGACGTGGAGGATCTTCGACAATGCGACGACATGATGGCGGACTACTTCAAGGACAAGCTGCGCATGTCGCCACATGTGTTCCGAGAGATCATATAAACTTTGTCTCCCTTCCTTGACGGCGTGTCACTTTCTATAGAGAGCCCCTCCAACCTGACCACATTGTCGTGTACGCTTTGTACAGGTGGGCGTCGGGGGAGACGTACAAGAATGGGGCATGCAAATTCGGCATTGGCAGATCTTCCGGGTTGGTGGTTGTGCGGGATGTAACTACGGCGTTGCTGAGTGGGAACTTCGACAAGATATCCTGGTCGACGGGTCTACAGAAGGCGGTCGTCTTGCGTGCTTTCACTGACAAGGGTTTCCTTAACTGCCATGGGTGCATCGACTGCATCCACATCTTCATCGACAAGCCAGCGAATTGCCCCGGGGAGGACTACTACGATAGAAAACGCCGTTTCTCCGTCCAGGCGCAGGTCGTCGCCGATTTGAACTTGCGTGTGTTGGATGTGTTTGTCGGTTATCCGGGAAGTAGCCACGACGTGAGGATCGTCCACCTGTCCAGTTTATGGGCGCTCGCGGAGGCAGGGGAGTTTTTCACTAGGCCACCTGTCATGCTATCTTTCGGTGTGCAGACAAACGGCTATCTGCTCGGGGATAATGGTTATCCGCCCTCCGAATGGGTAGTCGTCCCCTACGACGGTCTCTCACAAACCCCGTCGGAGTTGCGTTTCGACAACAAGCAGAAGACGGCGAGGGGAGTAGTTGAGAGGGCTTTCGGCAGACTGAAGGGGATGTGGAGGTTGTTCCTTTGCTCCCACAAGACGAACATGGAGACGTTGCCGCAGCAGTTCGTCACCGTCTGCATTATGCACAACATACTCATCGACGCGGGCATTCCCTTCGATAACAATCTACTGTGGGAGGTTGGCCCGGACGGTGTGCGTCGCAGGGTGGATCTTGGGATGGAGCGTCCCTTGAGGCCGATGCGTATGGAGTCGTCGACAGGGGATGCGCTCATTCTACGAGACGTACTGGTGGAGCGAATGGGTGCGCAGTGAACACGGCCAGGCGTGCGGAGCAGTCGGCTGCGATGACGTGGTTATGGCATAAAATCATATCGGGCGTCTGATCCTGGAAGGGGTGGTCGTCTGAGTTGGGGTCGCTGTGTGTGCGGGGCCGTTTGACGGAATTGGCGAGTTGAAGCAATGGTGCCTGTGGGTTGTCGTGCGCGGGGCGACGTGTGTCGGCAGTTTCTTACCGTTTTGTTTCGCATTGCGCGCCCTTAAGGAGGGTGTCCGCACCTGGGGTTGATGGCGATGGCACAGTCCAACGCGTAGTCGACGGGGGCGACGTGGCGCGCGTGCATGTGCCGATCGTAGTTGTCGTGTGGTGTGGTGTCACTGCGGGTGACATGTCTGGGTGACATAGTCGAGTCTTCATCGTGCGTTCTGTTTTCCAAAACTTTGGATTAAAGTTGCCTTCAAGGCCATTATTTTTTGCAAAGTGTGTCTTCATTCACTGTTTTCTTTGTACGAGACACAACAATCTAGTTTCTTACTTATCGTGTAAATTATTAATGTTGCGTGGCTTGTCTTCTTCTTTGTGGACGAATGAAAAGTACATAATTGCACAATGTTGTTGTGTGTTATTTGTATTGCCATCTCTGCTTCCAACATGTACAATGCCTTGTGTGAACATCCCTCACTTTGTCATCAACAATTGGTTCAAGCAAGCATCCCCGACCCCGTTACATCCCCCTTACCATAACTTTCGTGAATGCAAATGAAAGCGGAACAAAACAGGAATATAATAATATTATATATATAATAATATATATTATTTATATAAATCAACACAATTACATGTTCGCTTTTACAGATGCGAACAATTGGCATGTTTGAAAAAAAGAATGAACATTTAAAGAAAACGAAAGGTTCATGCAAAACCCCTACGACAACTGCAGGTGCGTCGCCGTCGTTTTCGTGGTCCCCCACACGCAGTCGCTGCACCCCCCGAGTTATGGATTCCTTCCGTCGTGGATGAAGCGTCTGTCGCTATTCTGCCCACACCACCCTCCCGTCTCGTGCATCACCAACATCGTCGATGCCACAATCAGTCTCCCCGCATTCGCCTCGACGGCGGGCTGCAGTCGAACTGGCGGACAGGGGAGACAGAGACTGCATCCACAGGGGGCGAGCTGAGGCACCCCTCAACACAGACGGCGTCCGGTATTGCTGCCTCAGAGGATCCCTGTTGTTCCACGATGCCTCCTGGGCCGGTGCTGGAGACTTCGATGACCGCGCAACAGTCGTCACCTGCCCGCCTCGTCATCGGGATGGTTGTCGACGATCACAGTTCGCGAGGCGGCCGACGACCTCCCGCTACACAGCCCGAACGACGGATTGATGCCGCCATCGCCTTCGTTGCCACTCAGCCCCTGTTGGAGGAGTTGGGTGTACGACTGGCCATAACTGCTGTCGTGGCTTCCACAAACCTTTGTAACCGCCCACTCCTGGGTGGACCCACTTCCCAGCGGCACGGTCCGTGACCGTCTGTCCTCCGCCTCCTCGTCGGACGTGTCCGGCAGAGGCTGCAAGTGGGGTGGCAGGTGCGCATACCCAGACCACTCAGACGGCCTTGAACTTCTCGACGGGCTCTGCCCAGCCTGCTGGCCACCACCCTGATCCCCTGCAGACCTGCACATCCCCTGCCGCCCCTCCATACTGATGTCCTTTTTCGAAGACCATCTTTTGCGGCCACATCGCGGAACGATGTCGAGGATACACACGTGGAAGACAACTAAGAGGAGGAGCATGCGGACGACCAGCACCAGTAGCGATATGCACAATGTTGTTGTGTGTTATTTGTATTGCCATCTCTGCTTCCGACAAGTACAATGCTGTGTGTGAACATCCATCACTTTGTCATCAACCATCGGTTCAAGCAAGCATCTCCGACCCCGTTACGTCCCCCTTACCATAACTTTCGTGAATGCAAATGAAAGCGGAACAAAACAGAAAGCGACAACATGACGTAAACGTCAACAATATAAATCAACACAATTACATGTTCGCTTTTACAGATGCGAACATCGATTTGGCATGTTTGGAAAAAAAAATGAACATTTAAAGAAAATGAAAGGTTCATGCAAAAACCCTACGACAACCGCAGGTGTGTCGTCGTCGTTTTCCTGGTCCCCCATACGCAGTCGCTGCACCTCCTGAGTTATGGATTCCTCCCGTCGTGGATGAAGCGTCTGTCGCTGTTCTGCCCACACCGCCCTCCCGTCTCGTGCATCACCAACATCGTCGATGCCACAATCAGTCTCCCCACATTCGCCTCGACGGCGGGCTGCAGTCGAACTGGCGGACGGGGAAGACGCAGACTGCATCCACAGGGGGCGAGCTAAGGCACCCCTCGACACAGACGGCGTCCGATATTGCTGTCTCAGAGGATCCCTGTTGTTCCCCGACGCCTCCCGGGCCGGTGCTGGAGACTTTGATGACCACGCAACAACCGCCACCTGCCCGCCATGTCGTCGGGATGGTTGTCGACGATCACAGTTCGCGAGGCGGCCGATGACCTCCCGCTACACAGCCCGAACGACGGATTGACGCCGCCATCGCCTTCGTCGCCACTCGGCCCCTGCTGGAGGAGGGTGTACGACTGGCCATAACCGTCGTCGCGGCTTCCACAGACCTCTGTAGCCACCCACTCCTGGGTGGACCCGCTTCCCAGCGGCACGGTCCGTGACCGTCTGTCCTCCGCCTCCTCGTCGGACATGTACGACAGAGGCCGCAAGTGAGGTGGCAGGTGCGCATACCCATACCGCTCCGAAGGCCTTGAACTTCTCGACGGGCTCTGCCCAGCCCGCTGGCCACCACCCTGATCCCCTGCAGACCTGGACATCCCCTGGTGCCCCTTCATACTAACGTCCTTTTTTGAAGACCATCTTCTGAGGCCACGTCGAGGAACGATGTCGAGGATACACACGTGGAAGACAACTAAGAGGAGGAGCATGAGAACGACCAGCACCTTCTTCGAAAGACGTCGGCCATGAAACACACGTGGACGACGCAAACAGCTAGAAGACAATTGTGGACGTCCAGGAAACAGTGAGGGTCAGTGGCGCAAACGACCGATCGCAGCTACCGACAAAAGCAGGGTAACATATTCCGTCGCGGAAGACCGTGCGCAATCGGGAGAGTGGGGGCGGGCTGAAGTATTCGAATCTGCCGATCGTTGGGCGCTTTCCCGCTACTGCTGAAGGGCAGCGATGCAAGGCAGCCCCTTTTCGACATCGCGGAGGACGGCAGGCCGCCAAAGGGGACTGTTGGCGGAGTATTCCATGACGCCGACCGCTGCCAACCGGAGATGTCCGTCCACGGGCCGCCAGGAACAGCAATGGACCAGCCGCGTTGAAAATTGTCGTCAAGAGAGCTGTCGTCGACGCCCCGATTATTCCGGATGCTCGACCTCCAAGGGACCTCGGGAGGTCCCTTGGGGAGCGCGCCGAAATGGCTGTAGCCCGAAGAATCCCCGAGGAAATGTTTTCACTTTTTTTTTTTTTCCCCTTCCCCGAGAATAAGTGGAACGATGATTTCCTCGGGGATTTTACGCGACCGAGGAGTGTCGAACATGCCCCTCAACCTTTATCCAACCTTCAAAAAATAAAACTCAATTGTTTTCAAATGACTATTTAATAAGAACCCGGGTTAAAACCTAAAGAAACAATTCAACCCACATGAGCTAGGACCTTAGGTTGAGTGGTCGTAGAAATGGTCATTAGGCCAAGGTGCGGCCTTTGGTATAATTGGCAAGCCTAGGCCCAAGACAAATACATCTTATATGGAAATCCACGTTTGCTATACCTAACCATGAGCCTAACACAATACATTACGATGTTTGACTGTCACTCAACAGATAGGTGGATCTAGGTCAACTGTCGGCTATGCAGGAGCGACAAAGCAAAACAAAAGGAACTACGGGATTGAGGGCCTGCAGGGCTATCCCCCTTAACCAGTCCCAATTGCGGGCCCGCTTGGTAAGACTGCAGGAGTACCAACATGCTCCTCTCCTTCCTCCCGCTCCTTTTTTCCTCTTTCCGTTTTTTTTTTTTTTTTGGCTTTATTTTAAATCCGTTTCTGTTTGGGACCCAGTCCCGATACCCGACCGACGATGGACCCAAGGGCCTAGCTCAGTTGGTAGACCCCTGAACTGTTGAAATATAGACCTGAGTTCCAACTTCTCTAGAAGTGGACGAGTAGAATATTGCAATTTTGAGTGAAACATTGTAACTTTGGGTCACCTAGGCCCAGTCAGCTCAATGATGATATTCCACGACCGATATCATGGCCTGGTCCTTCAGGGTAACCGATGACTGATACCGGTAATGATGAGCTTACGAAAGGGGGAGTTCGATAACGCGTCTTTTTTGTTCGGTTGAGGCAACGTTGCCCTGCCAGCCAAGAATGAGAATTCTAATTAGAATGAGAGGATGGACATAGGGAGAAAAGAGAAGGTTGAGGATAAGATGAAAGTAGAAGTTGATAAAAAATGTGAAAAGCTAGAGGGGGAAAATTAGTATCACTTCACTCACCCGATTCTTTTCAGATACAGACAAACTAAGGCTTAATGTTGAGTTTTTTTGTCATGGTGAGTCCAATCATAGTGTCAAAATTTGGGTTTGATGAGTGATTCGGGTGATACAACAATTGGGGGTTGCACAATATAGGAAAGGAAGCTTAGTACAAAGGAAGGAGTTGGCGATGAATCTACCCGTGTTCTAGCGGAAGATTCATTATCAATTTGCACAGTTTAAGAAGGCGCGGGATGAGCATGCATTGCTGTCGGTCGTGCTCTTCGTCACATTCGTTCTTCATGATTGCAATGTTCTTATGGTCGCCTACATCAAGCAGTCCATCTTCGTGGTGCTCCTTTCGGGAGTGGTCGGTGGTAGTCATTCACGTGATGTACATTTCATTGGTGATTACCTAACTCGCATAAATGAAATTGGGGGCATAAACCTGGTTAAGGTGTTGACCAATTGCATTAGATAGCAAAGGGTAGGAAAGATAAGAAAAGGAAGGCGCTTATCTCGAAGGGCGCAGCAACGGATGAACTTGCCAGTGCGAATTTTTCCATGATCTAGTGGAAGATTCATTCACATTTTGCACATTTGGAAAGTAATGGAATGAGCACCCGCCATCGTGAGTGACGTGGCGCTCGACATTATCGAGGAAAGGCGGCTAGTCGTAATCCGTGTCCCATCGATTGATCGTCATCCCGATCTTCCAGATCACGCTCGTCGTGGTGACCTTGGTCGTGAATTTCATTAAAGTGATAGCTGCACTACTATCGATCTTCTCGGACACTGTAGTGGGCCTAGTGGCCGATTATCTTGATGGTCTTGGTCTCTGTTTCGATGATCCTCCTTGACACGATAGCATTCTCTGCCTGTTCAGGTGGCGATGATAACCTTGTTGTGGTGCTCCGTGTAGTCATTGTGCTAATATAGGTGCCCCTTTATGCGGATGTATCTTCCCATGCTCGAGTGAAAGATACGTTTTGGTTTATGTTGGGCATGACCTCCTATATAGCGATATGAGCATGCGTGAATAGGGCATAAGGAGATAACGTGCGGGAGAATGAGCATGAAGGAGAGAGAAGTGTGTGCAAGGGAGAGAAAATCGAAGAGAAAGTGTTTGTCTACCTGGATAAGGTGGCAATGCAGGATTGATCGAAATTTGGGTAGTGACTTTAGACTGCACGTTGGCCAGGTAAAAAATTGATAGTGTATTTCCCCGGGAAGATTCATCTGCATTCTAACGAGCGAGCATTGGACATGGCAGCAAGGGATTGGAGTGAATCTTCCCGTGTTTAGAGGAAGAGACATCCTCTTTCTTTGGCGAGCTATGTCTGGCAGATGGTGACGACCCATTTGACGATGTATTTGTTGATGTTATGGCAGAAGATTCATTCTCGTTTTGCACATCCGGTGGGAAGCGCAACCCACGTAGTCCCTCTTTGTTTTCGCAGTTGTGGACGATAGGACGATCGTCTCCGTGGTGACCACTTCGTCGTCGTATTTGCGGTCGACACCGCTCTGAGGTCGTTGCCATCTTCGTCAGATCCATAGAGGTTTTCCTTTATGGGGAGGGATGCGCACGTATGTGTGTAGGAGTAAGAGCGAAAGAGGGACTGAGAGAGGGGGAGACCACACAAGGAGAAAGGTACAACGATAGTACAAGGGAAAAAGTCTTTCATGGGTGTTTAAAGGACAAATCGAGTCGGGATTGGAATGTTGCCGTGCATTTTTGGACTTAGCTACTTAACTGGTAGAGTTAGCTTCGTAGATAGGAGAATAGCAGTAGAATGGAAGCGGGGTTAGGAGAGAGGAGGGAAGTAAAGAGGGGCAGAGCGAAGTACGTACCTGACCCGATATCTTCAGCCGTGTAACTTCAACTGACCCCGATTGTACGTCGGGATAGAATCGTCTGCATTCTGCAAGCTTGGTGGCAAGCGCAACAACAATGAGCGATAGTGGCGAACGTGTCTTTGCTGGTCTCGGCGGAAGATTCGTTCTCGTTTTTGCAAAGTAGTGCTTACCTGACAAGGCGAATTGACCATATACTAATGGAGGAGTCACCTTCAATCTGCACTTGATGTGGGCATAACGGTGGGCCTGACATTCTCCTTTACGGTGGCCAGTCTGATCCAAGTGCCACCCTTGCTGTCGCCGATTATGCTTTTGTCGTAAATTGATGAGTCGCGAGCTGTTGTGCCCCAACGAATGGGACTAGTGCTATTTGGGCAAGACCTTCTATTTCTTGGATTGACGTAACTATGGTTCTGCTCAATCCAAAGGAGTACTGTTACGGTTGTTCACTCAGAGTGCAAAGCGTTGTTATTCTTTACGGCAACAAACCGCCGTTCAAGTGCAACAATCGAAAACACTGATATATGAGTTACCGTTGTTCTTTGCTGCAGTAAGCAACAAATTCGTTACATTACCGTGATTTTACCATCCCTTAGAACGACAGATAACGGGTTGGGGTGACTACTTTTGGGATGTCTGATTGTTGCCTGTTATTACAATGTTGTTATTTTGACTCAAAGGTTGTGCAAACAGCAGGTTGTGTAGCGGGTTGCTACTTTGAGTTGTTGGCAGGTTGTTGGTTCAAGATTGCTACCCGACGCTCAAACACGAAGTGTTGACGCTGGTGCTCTGAGTTGTTGTTGAAGACTATTTCTGTAGAAACCTGTTGTTGTTGTATTTGGATGCGACGAGGGCTATTGCTTAAACATTTTTTTCGTGCTCAGCAACAACGGATTATTGCAGTAAGGAGCTGTTGTCATGATGAGGATCAATGATTATTAGCTGAATACGCAGGCAACAAACTTTTGCTGGTTTGGATATTTGTGGCTATCAGAGGTGTTACCACAATTGGAGGAGTGACTGGGCTTTGCAATGGGGTTGCTAGTGCAAATTTGGAGGGTTTTCAGAAACTGGTATTCAACATTCTTGCCATGATCTAATAATCTTTACTGCACTTTTTTGCCACCATTGCGAGACCCTCAAGTGATTGAAGACTGCAAGGGTCTCTCACCCGAGTCTTAGAGCACCTCTCTAGTATCTGAGAGAGTCAATGACTTCTACTTCTATCTTTCTTACACTAAGTCTAGTCTGACTGGTTCAGAGAGGAAGGCGGCAGGCGGGATTGCAACCGGTAATCCGCAGCAAGACCTTGTGGGAGGTCAGCCCACCGATTGTGTGAGCTCTGCCGAAGCCCAGGCGGGGTTCTAGAGGGAGAGAACATTCAGGTATGCGATCATTACGCATGTGATCTCATCCCTTAAAATATGACTAAGAAAGTTTATAACTTTTGTTCATTTTAATTT